AGTAAGTGAACTTTCAAAACATGGAGAACTGAAATTCAAGAAGTGAAAGTTTTTTATTTTAAGTATTAGTAATTTTTATTATTTAAATTTAGGGAGTTCCTTGCGCTTGATATTTGCTGCAAAGAAATTTTATGTCAGGTTCCAATTTAGATAACTTGAGTCTCAAGTCTCCCGGTTTCATTATATCTAACCGTTTTTTTTTTTTTTTTTAAATTTTATTTTTAAAGCAGCAAATCATTTATGGCACTAAATCCGCATTCGGCAAAATATGAAGATGGAAACGGTAACAATAGTTCTCTTGCAAATTTTGTTGCATTTGGATATCTGATTCTGGTTTCCTCACAAAGCTATGTCATCGCTCCTTTTATATTAAAATAACGTTTTAATTGACTCATCATTTTGCATTTCTGCGAGTTCTTCTTTTTACTGCATATTTGAAATATCAGCCAAATCCACTAGCATTGGCTGCATCATCCAAGTTGGAAAATCAATTTGTTTTAAGTTACAAAATCTTTTAAATAAGCCGATAAAATTTTCAGATGATTGACAATAACAAGTATAGTGGTATCAGTAACAAGTATAGCGGTAGTCACGTCACATTTTTGGAGCCAATGAGACTTTTCCTAATTTTTGTGGTAAACAGTATGTCTGACTTAATTCAACAAAGATAATGAAACCAAATATCTACGTTTTGCATCATAAGTTTTATTTGCTCCTTGAAGTTGTTTATTTAATATATTTAATTTTTGAAAGATATCGGCTAAATAACTCACAATTGCCTTGTTATCCGTTAACGGATTTTTCATTTCAGGTTTTTCGCTTAAAAAATAACTAAGAGTGTCAAATAGTTCCATAAATCTTTCCAAGCAGTTCCCTTTCGACAGCCTTCTTACTTCAGTGTTAAGTAAAATTCTCATATAGTCTTCATTTTGTTCTTCATAAAATAACTTGAAAAGACGTTCACATTTGGCCCTAACTTTAATAGCATTGATACACTTTATAACTGAATTTAGTATTTCATTTAGAACAGGCGAATTGTTTTTAACTACCAGGTTTTCTCTGTGAATAACACAATGCACAAGAAGCATTTCTGGATTCCCATCTTTTATCAATTTTAAGCAACTCTTTTTCTTATTCCGTGCTTTATTCTATTTTTCAACCATCATATTAGGAGCACCATCTGCAGTACAAGATGTATTATATTTTTATTGGTATATTTTTTAAATCTAAGTAATTTTTTAGCTTACTATAAATATCTTTGGAGGTAGTGGTGCTTTCTAATGATTTACAGAACATTTATTCGGCAAAATCCCCTTTATGAATATATGAATATATCTTACATAAGTTACAAGTACGGCTTCACTGTCTCTCACAGTTGGTTCATCCATTTGCACGGAAAATTTTCTTGTTTTCAGCTTTTCAACGAGTTGTATTTCAATATCCTCACTCATTTAATATTTCTTCTGCAAACAATATTGTTATTTAGTGGAATAGCTTTAACGTCTTTGTCATCTTTTTCTAGAACAGTTTTAAATGCTGATATTGATGGTTTGATTCAATTCTTCCCTATAGTACGGCTTTTCCCAGATTAAGCGATGAGTAATGAAATTTGATAAATGGCCTCAAGAGCAGGATTAACAGTTGCATTATGAGCAGTAAATAGACACTTTAATACACTGCTCAAAACAATTAAAGGATATTGCGGTTTTAGGTGGATCTTGTGGCTGAGAAACTTTTTAGCTGATTGATACATGGTCGACAGACGTAGTAGGTTATGTGAGAATAAATTACACATGTTTGGCGGAAAATGCATTTTATTGCGCATTTGTGTATAAAAGGAAAAAAAACACAATTTGTGCATATGAGAAAAAAGAATAAGAAAAAGGTGTTTTTTTCAAAGGAAATCATTTTCATTATGGGGTATGGTTTCCACGGACGCCCAGCAAGGTTGAACACCTTTGAGGCATGGAGTCAATGAGGCTATTAATCACGAGTTGGGGTATTCTGTCCCACTCTTCCAGAAGAGCACTTTCCAGTTCTTGGAGAGTTTGTGGGGGTGGATGGCGTCCAGCAACTCGACTTCCTAGAGCGTCCCAAACGTGCTCTATTGGATTCATGTCTGGAGAACACGCTGGCCATTCCATTCGTACCATTCCTTCCTGGAAAAGGAAATCCTCCACCAGGTTAGCACGATCTGGCCTGCAGTTATCGCCCATTAAAATGAAGTCATCTCCGATTGCTGCAGCGTAAGGGACTACAATAGGTCTGATGATCTCATCCCTATATCGGCGACCAGTCAGAGGCCCATCTCGAATGATGTAGAGGACTGTGCGCCCGTCAATGGTGATGCCACCATACACCAACACTCCCCCACCGCCAAATCTGACACTTTCGTGCACGAACGCAGGATTATTCCTACTGCCACGGTCTCCAGATGAAAATACGCCTATTATCAGGATGAACAGAAAAACGGGACTCGTCAGGAAAAAGAACATTGCTCCATTCATTTCTCCTTCAGTTCACATGCTCTGTTGCCCACTTCCTGCGGTCGCGACGATGCCTTGATGTTAGTCTAACATATACCATCGATCGGCGAGCATACAGACCTACACCATGGAGCTGGTTTCGGACAGTCTGAGTTGAAAACGTAGTGCCAGTAGCCGAGCGAATGTGTTGTTGGAGAAGAGTAGCATTCATATTTCGGTGTCTCCGAGCCGTTAACACTAAATAACGATCTTCATTGGGCGTTGTTACCCGTCTACGACCTTGCCCTGGTCTTCGGCCTGCACTTCCAGTTTTAAAAAAAACGGTTCCAAATCCTGGAAATCACACTTTGTGACACTCCAATGTCTTGCGCTACTTCGGCTTGAGTTTGGCCCCCTTCTAACCAACCAACAACTCTCCAAGCTTCTGAATCGGTTAAATGACTTCGCTGAGACATCGTACTCATCGAAACAAAGCAGTCACTGAATGCCGATCATCCTTGTCTTCATTGTCTTTTATTCAGATGAAAGTCAAGTTTCATTCGCTGCCGCTAAAGCGATGTTTTGACGTCGAACTCAAAATTAGCATGCTTCACAGTTTGAAAATCAGAAAAATTTGCATTTGTGATTCTCTTCTTTCATTTTCGGCAAAAAAAATTTCGCTTATATCTTTATTTTATATAAAACTTATAATATCCTTTAATTGTTTTGAGCAGTTTATTACTCTATTTAAAAAAAATTTCCTTAGAGTGTGAAAATAATTCGAATCTGAATTAATATCAGCATTATGTTTCGCCTTCAAATGTGCCTCAAGACGACCTAGTTTCATTGATTTGTTGGTCAGGCATTATTGGCATAAAAGGACAAAAGTTGACCGTTTATGGACCGGGTACGAAACCAAATTTTAAATATGCTTCCGAATACCGACGAACGTTTTTTCTTGCTCGCACCCCTTGTTTCACTAAGGGCTGAAAGAAATAAATATAAGATTAATATAAACAAAGCTGAAAGCAGCTGCTGTTGCCATTCAAGGAAAGAATAATATACCGGTTGCCATTCCTACAGTAAAAAATAAAATAAATTCGTTGGCTGAAATGTGCGAGAAACGTCTGGAAAGCATAATGTATCAGTTATTTAAATGTCTTTAAAAGCATTTAAATGTCCATGTCTACAGCGAGAATTAAAAAACATTTAAAAATTAATTAAAAACATTTAAAATGCACCGCAATTTAAAAACTTCTTTACGTATACATCACTTATATTTTTCTTTTATTTTGGGAAATAAAATATGAAATTTCGAAAATTTTTGATTTCATGAAAGATATTTAGAAAGCCCTTTGTCCCCTTAAACTCTGAACGAGTCCATTTTCGAATTGCCCCCCTTAACAGTCGCATTGCCCCCTTGTGGGGCGTGGGCCCCACGTTGGAAAACACGGGATTATATAGTCGTACTACCCTATGATTTTAATAACTTCGTCAGTGGAGGAATCACATTTTTGCAGAATTTGAATGTAATCTTTAGTAATTCGGCATCTAATGGTAAAATCTTTAGAGAATTATGGATGACAGTGCTCCTAACGAACCACGGAGAGTTTTATAGGAATCTGCGCGTTTTATTCTGAAAACTTGGAAGCTTTGTTCTGTTTGAAAATGCAGCAGCCGCCCACGCCGCGCGGCATATGGAATTATGGGTCGGATTGCCTGTAGATAGAGTGTTCTTTTAGCATTGATATTTAACTTGGAATATTTGCACATTAAAGGGTAAATGCTCATTAAGGCACTCTGTACTTTGTCTTAGGTGTAATTAACATGAAATTTGAAAGTTAACTTCTTGTCGAGATAAACACCTAAATATTTTACCAACTAAAAAATGACAAAGTAGCAAGTCACGTGGGATGGTTATCCACACATTCACTGTTGTTTAGAAATGCTGTTTTATTTCTCTTTTAACTGTTTTAACTACTTAAACAACTTTTAACTATTATTTATAAGCATAGAGTATTAAATATTATAGAGAACTGCAATACTGATACTTCTATATTTACACACATTCATACTGTTGCCATTCACAAGTTACTGAATACTAAATGTTTAGTGTTGTCATTTACAAATAACTAAATTTTAAAAGTACTTAAAGGCCTAATTGATTATCGCTTTTAATTACAGCTGATCCTTGAGTTGCGCGGGTAAATACGCACCGAGTAATTGCATCTAAACATGTAATTTTTGTCTCCTTCGAGGTATAGCATTTTTAGTCTGTTTCCTTATTAAGTGCAAAAATGCCTTAATGGTTGAAATTTTAAGATTTTATCCTATTTTCTGTAAGTTTTCAAAATTACTAAAGTTATAATAGTATTAAAAGCATAAGCGGCTTCATCGACCACTGCAAAAAAATTTTGCAGCGCCACGTGTTGGACGTTATAAGCATATAAAATGCTTGTGAATTTGTGTCGTTAGTAATAATATGGTGGCATCAAGTTTCTAAATTTTTAAAATAACAATATAATCCCCCCTTTCGTCTGAAGCTTTAAATTTTTAATTGAAATCTGTAATTTGGGCTCTGAATAAATTTCATTTCGTAATGAATAACAACTTTCGTAACATTCAATGTTTGTTATACTTTTAATTATATATGATCTAAGCAAATAATTTACATACTCAGATATAAGTCTTATAGCATATATTAATGAAACATGAAAGTTGTTAATTTTCAAAGGTTATGATTCGTTTTCAAATGAATAAGTGGATTTTTCATTATTGATAAAATTATGTTCCAATGTTGAAATTATGTTCGTTATATAAAAAATGAAATTTAACGTTTACTGGATGCATAGCTTTGACCATTTCTGCAATCAGTTTACCATTTAGCTTGTGTTTCTTTCATTCTGCAATCTAAGCAGCTCGTGAGTCTCTCGGCTCTATTTCAGAAATTCAATAGAGAAGTAAAAAATGTTCAGTATTACTCTTACGGTGGCAACAGTAAATAGCACCATAAATTTTAGTGTTACAATGGAAAAACTTGCCATTTTGCTAAGTAAAATAACCTAATCGAAAAGTTTTATTAAATAATGAATATATCTGCCACGATAATAATCGTTTGGTTTAAAAGGTAAAGCGAATTTTTTTTAAGTAAATTTTTTCAACGTTATATATTAATTTATTTGATTTTTTTTTAATTATTATTTTACGGTAACATATATTTGTAAAAAAATTCTCAATATGGCTTCCATGAAAAGTATTTTTAATTACTTTAGTTAATAATGTAAAAGTGGTTGCGCATATAAGATATGCTTATTGCCACCAATTTAATGCAATTAAAAAATTAATACTTGCGATAAAAAGTACAATCCTGTTACGTTTAAGAAAAATGCGGAACTGTCCTTGGTTATGCGATTTGCTTTTAAAACAGACAGATGATCATGAAGTAGAATAATTTATGTATGTCATTTATGCGTGCTGTGTTTACTTTTTATTAAATTTATTCAGCAAGCGCATTAAAAATGAATGCTTTAGTTATAGAAAAAAATATATGTTTCATTTTCATTATGTAAACCAGCTGTTGAGATTTATTAAAGAATTAACATATTTCAGTATTTTCGAGAATTTGGGATTTTTCATACTAATGGTTTATCTATTAGCATAAAATAGAACTTGAGTTTTAATAAATATGCAACATCTGTTTTCTTCTGTTCCCTATACCAAAATTACCTTTTTAAACTTCTTTATGTTCTGAATTACTTGCAAACAGTGTTAATTCACCCAAAGTTACGTTTCTTTTAATTGAAATAAAAAACATTAAGAAGTAACCAATTATTGAAAAAAAAATTAGATAGGATCACCTGTAAAACATTGAATTGCTATAATTTAAAAACAAAACTGAAGTAAAACTTCTATCTTCTAGATAGTTTTTGTTAATTATAATTTACACTAAACTTTTCAATTGTGTTTCATTGATTTCGATATGTATTATAACTGATGAGGACACTGAAGAAGGAAAAAGAAATTGTGTTACATTTGATTGCATCAATAATTCCAGTATTAGTTTTAATATACTTTCTTTTACAGAATTTACAATAATTTGGGGGGGAAATAAGGTAAACACTGTTTGCTCTGTTTAATATATTTAACTTTTCAGTTACATGTAGAAAACTTGGCTTCAAAATAAATAAAAACTGCATACATTAACATTTAAAATTAAATCCCTAATAATTTCTCAAAATTAGTTCTGATTATATTCATAATCTAACATGGTTAATTCTTTCAAGATTTTAAATTTATATGTTAGCCACATTTTATTTCATTTGAGGTTTACATTAAAAAAAAAAAAAAAAAAAATCATCAAACATCAGCAAGAAGAAATAATGCAGATAACTATTAAATGTAACTGACCATGTAACTTGTAAAACTAAAAATATTACATAAGACTTGACTATAGAAAAATTTATTTAATAGTTAAATCCAGATTTCTTCCTTTGTGATTAACAAAAAAATGAAAATGAAGATTCTGCACATGTTAATAAAATTCATAGAATATTTAGAGATTGTTTTGCAGAAGTAGCTTATTCTTCCAAATACACAGGATATGTAATCAGATGACTAAATGAATTTCTGAGCTAGTTACAGAAAAATTTCCCCATTGCAAAATGAATGCAGCTATATATAAAAAATGATTAACAAATATTTTTCTGCACTGCTAATAATATATATAATGAGGGTTTGTTTTAAAAACCAGGTATATTTTATGAAAAGAGGTGCAACAGAATTTTGTCAAAAATAACTAAATATTATAATTTATAACACAATGTATGACTTTTGAAAATGACAAAAAAATTATATAAATCTTTACTAAAGAATGTTAACATTTTAAATAAAATTCATGATAAGTTCTCAAAATTATTTATGTTAGTAAAATATTTATTACTTTTGGCTTGAAAAGAAAACTTGTTTTGAGTGAATCAGAAATAATAAACAAAAAAATGTGAATAATTTTTTTTTTTTTTTTTTTTTTTTTTGTGGTGTGTGTGTGTGTGTAAATATTTTGGTAATCATATCTTTTCCCAATTATTTGGCATTCAGGCTGAATAACATGTTTACCAAATATTCATTATGTTCCTCATATATGCTATAGCTTACTGTTTGCATATAAGTAATGGAATATTTTCTAATTTTGCTTTAGGAATTGAAATAAAATAGTAATTAAAATTTTACTCAATTTTACTACAGTAAATTGTATTTCATGAAGTAAACAACTGAAAAATATTTTAATTGGCTGTTATCTCTCAAATTCACTTAGTAATTTATCATGTTTAAATATTATATGTGTTTAAAAAATTGGAAATATCCATATAAGAAGTTTATATGTTCTTTAGTATTTATCAGAAGTACGACAAAAAAAATTATATATTTCATACAAAAGAAGTTAAATATACTTTATATGAATAACAAATTAGTGTAACTCGTTTTAAGAATTTTGAGGTCAGAAAGTCCTTTTAGTAATTGATATAGTAAATTTTTTCCACCTTTTTCATTGTATCATTTATATTTCTCATATTGTACGTATACATGCACTTTAATAATAATTGCCGTCAGTTTTTCATGCTACAGTAATTTGAACATTGTTCTGAATTATTTTATTATGCCTTTTAGTAACTTAATACACACTATATAACCATGAAAAATATCACCTGATTCATATGCATTTCTTTTCTTTTTTCATACATATTCATGCAGCTATTCAATGTTCGTGTATTTAATTTAGTTAAGATTGTTATTTCTGCCTTAATGGTTAATTAAAGAAAATAATGTTGTTCTCTATCTGTCTCTTTACAAAAGTATAGCAAATTGTCCCAATCCCTGTCCAAAATGATCATTAGATCATTTTGGACAGGGACGTTGACTTTTTGTTTGATTAATAATTTACAAGAAGCAATATATGATTGGTTCTAGTTGGTTTAGGAAAAAAGGATAAAATCCATTATTATTTGATGGTTAAAAAAAGTGAAGAAAAGGACAGAGGCATAGTTAGAGGGGGGGCAAGAGGAAACGTCTGTCCCTAGGTGCAACATCCAGGGGGAGCAAAACTGATGTTATGAAATTTTAGAATGAAATATTTTCCATTCTTAACAAACAGGAGGGGCGTGAAATATTCATCTGTCCCTGGCCATTGAAAACCCTAGCTACGACTCTGGAAAAGTAGGTAATTAAAACTGAGGTTATAGCAAAAGATTCAAAATTTGCATCAGTACAAATAAATATAAAATAGTGATTCTGTTTACTGTAATTTATTATTATGTTACTTAGCTGTGAATTTAACTTTCCAACCGTAAATGATTACTTCATAGCAGCTTAGTATTTGGTTATAAACTGCTTGGCTTGGGTTAGTAGCTAAACGATTGGCTATATGTTGTTTTCAAGTTTAATTTAGAGTATTTATGAAAATACTGTGAAGTGTTAACAAAATCCTGTTTATTAGTAGTCAGTCATTTATATTGTTAATTTTTATAATTTCCTGTTCATATCTTCTTATTATTCATTATTCCCATCATATCTATTTGGTGATAGTTTTGGTTTCTTCTAGTCATACTTTTAACTACTTTCTGATTATGTTTTTTGCACACATTGCTTTCTTCTCTTTTTTGGACACAACCAATAGTGAAGTAGTTAAGACTGCTGAATGCTGGTAGTTCATCCTGGTTTGATCCTAGGTGAATGGACGGTTTACATGGTTTTTCCTATGTGTAACATGTGAATATGAACCATTTTCCCTTAAAAAGTCCTCCACGAAGTCATTCCTCCATTTAGGTCTGGTGTGGTTTTGCCTTATTCAAATAATCTAACATCATCTTATATATTTTGAACAGGATACGCCCTAGCCAGATTTGCGAATTAAGCAGTTACAATGTAGTTTGTTATCTAGATTCAGCAAAGCACACAAGTGACACTACATCAGGGAAAGGATGCCTTTATGGAGGACTATCTAAGGGAAACTGGCTTGTATTCATTGTAATTTGATTAATAATTGAATTACAGTGTTGCTGGAATTAAAATACAGTTCATTTTTAGTATAATTACAATTATTAATGCAATGAAAATTTATGTGATAGAAAATATATGCTAAAGAACTGGCTAATGATTCATTCCTGGAAGCTAAAGTATGCACTGTAGTTATATAAGACACTTCTAATAGATATGCTTTTCTTTAGCAGTATTACATGTATTTATTTCTGACCAAAACTTCTGAAAATAGCCCTTGCATGTACAAGCTGGTCATAAAAAAAAAGACTTATTTTAATTATTTATTTAGAATATATTTTATATTTTATAAAATAATTTATAGTTAAATGTTGCTTCAGTAAACTGGAGTATATATAGAAGCGTTCAGTGAAGTATTCCTAGATGAAAAAAAGTTTAATACCTCTATTAGCAATAATTATCTGCTCATATTTTTGTTTACATGTGTTGCATATGTTTGTTTCTGCCTGAAGCAGTGGGTAATGGTCTTTGTAGATCCATACCTTGTAACTAAATTATCTTAATTATTTGTTGAAAATATGTAACTTAGAAAACCAATGCATAATTAATAGTGTTGTTGAAAATTGGAGTACATGTAGCAGTTAGCTAAGATAATTGTAGGCAGAAAGCAAAGCCATTTGGTTCTCTGTTAGCAAGAGCCAACTAGTTGTATAGTGGCTCAAGCTGTGAAACACTGTTAGTTCACCCATTCCCAATAGCTGAAATAAGTTGGTTCAATAAGGTTTTTGCATAATACAAAGGGGCCAGTTTCCTTAGCAAATCTTCCACAAGGACCAGAGTTTATGTTTTTAATAATAGTTAAGTAATCAAATCCATATCTGTTTTAGTAAATATAGTATGCACTGATTTTTCTGAACTATCTTTTCTTCATCTGAAACTGCTAAAAATTGTTTCTGTGTGTGCATGTTGATTGTAACTTTATTTTACTTATTCACTGAAAATAAGAATTATGTTTAAAGAACTAATTCGTGATTGATATAGCTAGGATGTCTGTGTTAAGTGTACTGAACATTGATGTTAAGTGGGATGGCTCCTAATGATAAACAATTCATATTTTTCTACAGGTGACCATTATCTCATTTCCCACCAGTAATCTTAACAATTTAGTACACAAAATGGCTTCTGAGTGTTTAATTCATATGAGAAGAATTCTTTTATAAATCTTATGATTGCTGTTTAATTCTAATAGGCTTTTCCAATTACTTAATTGCTATGATTGCAGTGTAAATGTGCTCTGTATAATATCCATGCTCTTAATTTCCAGCAGAGAATTCCACTTTCCATGTTTAATGTTTGTGTTAGCTCCTGAAATAATCCTTTTGCCTTTGCACCTGCTTTAATTAAAAACAGTTCTAGAACAATATAAAAAATTTGACTTTTTGTTCAAAAATAGTAAGTAATCAAATCCATACAGTAAAGAAAACTTTTCAAATCCATATTGAGAAAGTGAACCTCAAGGTGAAAAAACTTTTAATTGTGTGATTTATTAATATATTTAAAAAAAAAATTAAAACTGTTTTTTAAATCATATTTTCAAACTTTTTTTTCATTAGAAGACAATTCAAATTTTACTTTTAATTAAAAAAGTTTGGTATAAAAGTTTTCTTTTACTGTATTATTATCATTAATGTCCTATTAATGGCTGAGTAGTAAAGATCACTGAATGCTGGAAGTTTGGCCTGGTTTGATCACAGGTGAATGGTTTAGCTGTATAGTTGGTTCATGGTTTTGTATCATGAATATGAACCAGCATACCTCCATCAAGGCATTTCTCTCCTGAGTCAGATAACATACAATAGCGCTTATATGCTTTGCTATATATAAATAACCTAACGTAACTTACCATCATTTTGATCATTTTTATATGAAAGCTTTGAGAAACTTTTTGGATTCAAATTTAAGGAACTTTAGGATTCCTACTACCTCAAATAATTATGGTTAATTAACTAGTGCCTGCATTTACAATGAAGCTGAAGGAAATTACTCTATATCTCTTTGTAATTATGCAACTAATTACAATATGATATTACAATTAGCTTTGTTTTGATTATTTTGCATATGATATTAATAATAACAATTATGCTGTGTTTTAAAATTGAATTGGATTACATTTTGCCCAGCTGTATAATATAACCTAGCCAAGTATAATATATATTAAGGAGGCATACACTGTTCAAGGCTGTATTCATAAGTCTGGAGCTGTTAGCTTAAGACCTCCTGTTTATGGATGGAGTTATTATTCTGTACTGTCCAAGTCAATTTCTCTAAATTTCTACTTGCTGATTAAGGTCTAATAATTTTTATATGTATTTAATGTGTTATTTTGCAGTTTATATCCTTCATGAATTGTAAATAAAATTACAATCTTAAAATGTCTGATTAAAATTAAGATATGATTTCAACCTAAACTATATTGTATGATTTAATTTATCATTTAATTGACTTGTTCTTCAATCAGTACGCTACTTTGCATTTTTATATGATTAACATATGTAATTAAAAATTATATGTTAGCTTGCTTTTCAGTTAATTTATTTCCTATTTTAACAGTATTTCCTTCCATGCCTTCAAAGTGTTGGATTCCTGGTTGCCGTTCAAATTACTGTCCCCGTTTTAAAGCACGAGTATTTAGTTTTCCACGTGATGAAAAATTAAGAGCTACCTGGCTGAAAGCTATTCAAAGGAAAGACAGAGTACCTAGTCGAGCTTCAAAGGTTTGTAATGAGTTGAAATAACTTTTATTTTGTTTTTAATTTCCCTGATAAAGGCTCTCTCTCCCCCTTTTTCCCCCAGTAGACAAATGAGTAGCTTTTAAAAAGATATTTAGCCTTTTTCATTAAAATTAATGTTGAGTAAAATTTGTATTTGCTTCTATTAACATTCAAATTAAATGCAGTCTTTGCATTTAATAAATAGTTATAGTGTTAAAGAGCCATAATTGTTTTAATCATAAAATTTGATCATATTTAGTATGGTTTACAAGAAGTGAAAGGAGGAGGAATAGGGTAGGATTTAAATATTTAATCATCTTTTCTCTGGTAGATTGTGTTATACTATAACAATGAAAATGCTCGCAATCGGAATGGTTATTGGAGGAGTTAAGGCAAAAAGAATCTATTATATATATTCTAAAGTAATGTTCATAAATTTGCGAGACTAGTTTTGCCAATTTATGCATAGATCGTTCTTCAGCTGCAGAAGGGCAATTGACGAAAGAGAAGCCAGATATAAGATAAAACAATAAGTATGAGAGAAATGAAGTTAAGGTACTGGCATCCACTGTAGATGAAAAATGAAAACAACTATGCAATAATTTCCTTAAAAGCTGAAGGTAAAATTTAATTAGAATTGGCATCATTAACTAGAATTGAAGGATTTTTATGAATGTGAAACTGCAGTAGAAAATGTTATTTGCTATTGGAAGGTATTTTTAAAATAATTTTGGCCGCAGAAAAATGTAAAATGTAATTTTCTAACCAACAGTGTTGAGCTACAGAGGATTTATTTGTTTCTTCATATGCCTGATGTTTTTAGTGTTATATTTCTTAGCATGAAATTTTAAGGCTGTCTTAGTTTGGCAATGTAAGTTAAACAAAACTGGTAAGGAATCTTGTATATTACCTGGGAGTTCATGTTTGGGATGGGTTCCTTAAGTATGGGATTACAAATTTTATTGATAGATGAGAAAATGACCCAAAAGTTGGAATCTGATTTCTGGAGACCCATCACCTTTGAACCTCCCAAAAATAAAAGCTCTGATTTAGTTTTGTAGAGTCATTAGGTTGTTTTAATGCAGAAGATGTGAAAAATGTGCAGTGCCCTCACCGAGACTCGAACCTGAACCTCTCGAATATGTGCAAGTGTGCTACCATTACACCATGATGGCATGCAGAGAAAGGAGGGAGAAAATACCTTATAAGCTTCACATACCCTTCCTACCCATTTAAAAAAATCTCTTGGTCCATATGTAATAAATACTTGTGTCATAAAAAGTTTAATAGAATTTATAAACAAATAAAAAGCATCTCCCCTAGAAATTTTGGCATGATTTCTTTTGATGTAAAATCATTATTCAGCAGTGTTCCAGTAGAAGACATATTTAAATGCATAGAATTGAGATTTTCAGTTTCATTTCTTCTGTATCAAAAATGATAAGTTAATTTCCCATATTCACTTCTGTCTAGAACAGAAACATTTTGTGTTTGAAAGTAAGTACTATAAACAAACTGAGAGATTAACCATGGGAAGCCATCTTTGTTCTATCCTTGCTGATATCTGTATGCATTATTATAAATCAAATTATTTGAAATTTTAAACTTGTCTCTGTGGTTCTGCTGCATGGACAATACCTGTACCCTGTTTGATGATAATAAAGTTGGTTTAATTAAATCTCTTTCACTCATTAATTCCATTGATCCTGCCATTTACTTCACTTTTGAATGTGAGACATCCATTTCTCTCACGTTTCTCTACATATTGGTCAAACACAACATATCCAACTTCAGTATTTCTCTTTACCATAAGACTTCATCTGTTTACCTACCGTCACACTTCAGATCATATCAATTGACAAAGCAGAAGTTAGCTTCATTTTATTCCTTCATTTTCTGTGCTCTTTAAGTTTGTTCCTTCAGATGGCTCTTTGTCAAGAACTAAATTACTCAAAAGCAGCTGCTTTTGAGAGAGACTAAACAAAATTCTGATTTCAACACATCAGAAAGTACCCTCTTGTTTTAGGATATTATAAGAATTTTGTTGTCATTCCTTTTCCCCCCCCAATCTATTGGTATAAAACTGTGCATATTTTATGGAAATTCAACTCTCAGGTCATTTTTTGTTCTGTCAGTAAAATTTGCAGTTCATATCTAAGGACATCATTCCAGATATGAAGTCCTGGGGTATAATACAGGATTACCTGCCAATGTATGTGGTTTAATTTACATTGATGAAAATAAAAGAGCCTTAAAATTTCACAATAAGGAACTTGAGATATATGTTGGGAAAATTAAACACATAAATATCCTCAGTTGCCCAGCACTGTTGTTTTCATCGGTAGCGGGCATTAGTAACTTGGCTTCCTTCCTCTTATTCTTATTGCCATATTATATCACTGGTTTCTCTTTAATCATTTGCACTTCTGTAGCTTAAGAAGCTGAATATTACCCAGATTTTCGTTGCTGTAACTCCTCCTATAATCGTTATTTTGCATGTTATAACTCGTATCTGAATGGCATTGGATTGATTTACTGTATACCAGAATTGTGTTACTTATCGAAAAAGTAATTGTTAGGGTATCTAAGAAGGAGAGCTATTTAGTATTGTTTTCAATATTTTTTTATGCTTGTTCCTGTTGACAGCAAACTCATCTGTCAGTCAAAAGGTAAGCAGATTATCGACACTACTCTGAAAAAAAAAGAAAAGAAAATTTCTCTTTCAATTCATTTTCATGTCAATTTCACTGCATTGCATCAACTTTTGTAAATTTTTGAAATCTGTATAAATTTTTGGGCAGTGCAGTACTTTTTGCAATAAAATCAGTGTCATTTATTTCAACAGTTTAAATTCTTTTAAATATTTGTGTTAAAAATCCTGTTAAAGGCTATCTATAATAATAAAAGCAAGTGTAATGTGTCTGTCTGTCTGTCTGGCCGAGCTCTCCAGCCAAATCTATCACACGCAGGGACCTGGAATTTTTTATACGGAAGCACAAAGGGGCTGGCCACCAGACCTCGAAGCCCGATTTTCGATTTTTGAATTAGAAAAATTTAAAAAAATTATTTATAATTAATTAATCACGGTTTTTTTGACTCACTGATATTATTATTTGTTTTCAAATAACGTTCGATTGTAACAATTGATTTCTTTATTCTAGCGTTAGTTTGCTGTTTTGACGATACATTAAATCGATTAATTACAATTCATTTCTTTTTTGTAGCTTGTGGGAGGGGGAAGAGAGAGAGACAGTCTACATGTCCTACACTACTATTCCTGCATTTTCACACTTATCTGCATTTTCTAAATGCACGGGCAACGCCAGGCGGGTACAGCTAGTTATTAATATGAGTATATTAAATAGAAAAATTTATGCTAAGTGACATACATGATTTGTCACTTTGTTAAGACCTTTTGATGATATAATGGTCTTTCTTAGACAACATTTGATAAGAAATTTTATAGTTAAAAATGTTTTGAAGTTCAAGGAGAAAATGTTTTGATCTTCCAGGAGAAAATACAGGATTATATTATATTATAATATGATCAAAGATTTATATTGTAATGTATACAATGGCCATTTAAGAATTTTTTATGCTATTTTATGAAATGAGAAAAAATGCTAAGCATATTATTTATAGAAATAGTTACACTGTGTTGTTCTTTATTTGATACTGCGTTTTTTCCTTGTCTCTTTCCAATGCCATAACAGACTGTCATTTTTATCTTATATTTTTAGTCCCTGAAGACCAAAATTCTGAACCTTAAAACTGAAAAGATTTCCTCTATCGACCAGGAACTGTATCAAGATGTTCACTTGGCAAAAAGAGTCAAATGTAAAGAGAATGTCCAGATATTTATCAGTCCCAGTTTTCAGAGGCCATTGAACATTATGGTGGTGATGAGGGGTGGTGTTATGCTAAAGCCTTTTAAATATCCCTGAGAAAAGTAATTCAAAAGTGGAGGTAGTTTTGATTGTCTCATACTACTATTTCATATTATGCACCATTAACCAGTTATGAATGGCATGCTGCAGACTGTTTATATAGTTAACATTAAGCAGAATTCCTTTCTTGTCTGCTAACCAGCAGTCCAGCAGTAAAGTCATTCACCACTGGCTGTTTGACCTGAGCTGGTTGTAGTATTACTTTATTACTTTAGGTTTTCTCCATGTATTACTTTAGGTTTTCTCCATGTGTAATGTGGATATAAACTAGTTTTCCTTAAGAAAGTTCTCCATAAAGGCATCCCACCCTATAGACAGATAGCTCTCAAGTTGCATTGCCTTAATCAATTAACCTAACTTAACCTGACCTTTCTTGTCTACTGAGATTTAATAGTATTTTGGAGAAGACCGAATATAAATATAGTACGAGACGCTATTTTCCAAAGAGACTCGGAAAAGTACATATTTTGACACTTCACCTCTGGGTCAAAGGAATGTAATATAGTTCATTCATAGTCACAATGCAATTAAGAAGCACCTCTCTTTCCCATTGTTAAAGATAAAATGAATATTGTAACATGAAATTCCTCTCAATCTAAGTTCAACATATGGAGATTCATTTAGCAGAGATTTTGCATTTAACCTTCTCATTCAGGTGGATTGCAATAAACACTTTTCCAAAGTAATATTATACACATTATATGACAATTAATGTTGAAAGCTACACAGTGTTACTTTAATTAGTTTCATCTGTTGCTGTAGCAATTGGTACGTCACATAATTCTTTGCATATCGCATTTGTTTTGTATTAAACTGTATTATATGATGGAGCAACGTTTCTGAGAGTGTGTCTCAAGACAGCACATTTTTCTGTTATGGTTTTCTCCAATACTGCATTAAATTTCATTGTTTCATTGTAAGTGTTACTGGCTTATGCAGGCTGATAATTAATGTCACGAAGCAAAATTACTGATCCATTTGCTAGTTACATAGGTAGCAAAGTTTATCACATTATCATCTAACTATATCTTTCTCGTGTATGATATGCAACTGGCA